ATTATGGAAGCACTTAAGTTGCACTGAAGAAAAGAACAGCTCAACAGCTACAACATCGTATGAAAAAGGAGATATTGAAGATAAACAAGGTAAAAAGACTTCGATGGTGTGGCGGTACTTTTTGCAGTTTAAAGTCCGACACGTTTATTAAACATAAGAATACGCCGAATTTATACAGATCACTAACTTTTGGGCATCACAATACGCATCTTATGCATTAATACGCAAAATACATTCATATTTTAGGCACGCTACTAAACTGTTTACCTAACTGTGGGCGTAAGTAAACGTCCGTATAATAGTACCGAAAAGCCGCCATCCGGACAAACGTTTCACCCGTCATCTAAAGCCCGGGTGATGATTGTGCATGCGCCATATAAACGCGATTACATCGTGACGTGATCGCGACAGCCCTAGCAGTGTGCTCAGGGCCACAGTCACCGGGGCCCCGTCACAGCATGCATGACTGCTGTGCTGTCGAACACTGTGTGAGACAGCAGAAATACGCTAACCCCCCAAAAGCACTGTGACTTGCATTGCTGTAAAAAGCTGAATCCATATGCGTAACATATTTACACATTTCTCGAGATGTTTAAATAAAGTTACGCATTTAAATTAATGTGCATGTTTCTCGCCTTCACACCCACACTGTCGCTGTAATTGGAGGGTTTCCCCATCACTCTTGTGGGGGGAGAGCTGTTCATTCCCATCACACACCATCCCAGGAGCACCGTGCTATGGGGCTCTCGAACCCGGACGCCCCCACAGCAGGTCACGTGACTCGGATCCCATGGGGGCCTGCCCTCGTCGCTTGGCTCCACACCGGAACCTGGGACTGAGCGTGCTGCCCCCAGCACGCTGCCCCATCTGCTGTCTCCCCCGCCCCCTGGGACGCGAGGAGGGGAGGGGACCACACTGGGGCTTCATAATCAGCCAACCAAAGATTTAATCTGAGCGCTTGAAACAAGGGGCGGATTAGCCGTGTGGCCAAGGGGGGCGTCAGGTCGCGGAGGAGGGTGTCCACAGCCCGGGCTGGGCTCAGGAGATAGTGTCGGTGGGGGGGTGCAACGAGCTGTAAAGCGCACTTCAGCAAGTCAGGGCACTGTGTCCGCAATCAGAACATTGGTGGTTCAAATCCCACAGTCGGCAGAGTGAGTTCGCTGTTGGCCCCATAGGCAAGGTCCTTAACCACCAAGTGCTCCAGGAATTGTCTGACCCTGATTTCTCAGAAAAACATGTCACTTTGGGTAAACGCATCTGCTAAATAAGTAAGTCAAGTGACAGCCTCAGTCAGTAGGGCTGATCACTGACACTGCAGGCCAGTCCCTGAATCGACTGGGCTCCATGCAGACGCTGCTCATCACCCGGCGTTTACAGAGACGTGAACGTGGGTACAATGCACAGATTGCAGGGGAAAAGAGAGAGAGCGAGAGAACATGAGCCCAAAAATAGCAGGATGTATAGACCCATATTTATTTAGTCCAAGCTGGCAGATGGTTGTTCTGAATGAGCAATGGGATGAAACCTGGCTCAGTGGCTAAGAGCTGTCCTCAGAACTCCAGGCTACACAGCACTGACACGCAGGCACCCCCCAGGCTACACAGCACTGACACGCAGGCACCCCCCAGGCTACACAGCACTGACACGCAGGCACCCCCCAGGCTACACAGCACTGACACGCACGCACCCCCCAGGCTACACAGCACTGACGGAGATAAGCCACATGCGGAAACACCGACCGAGAATGACAGAACTACACGTGACATCAGGCAGTTTGTACTTGGGATGACAGCGGTGATGAAATTAATTCGTCTTCCTATAAAGATTGTGACAGCGATGAGGATTGTTTTAAGAAGAAATTGTTTTAAAGACTGGCACAAAACAAACTGATTGTTCATAATCATGCTAAAGTAGTTCTCGATTTCCCCATTCTTCCATACTTACCATTCCTATTGCTTTCAACAAAGTGATAAACTACAAATTATATCTGTTTTTGTCTTGATTCACACTGACAATCAGCACTAGACAGGCCCATTGACAGGCTGATTTGGGTACAGGGAGTTCCCCAGTTGAATATCATTCATATTCATGACCAGAGCTGTTTGCCCAGTTAGAGACAATAAGTTATCTCTATTTATTAAACTAGAAGGAATTTGTGAGTGACTTGCAGGCAGGTGTGCAATGCACTGAATGCACTTAAGTTAGCATTTTTCTCCCATTACTGCTGGGACATCCTTAATGTTCAGAATAAAGATATGCATTTTTCCTCCTTTTTTTTACCTTTATGGAATCGAAATGGGGATTTGATAAGAACCTGAATCGATAAGCAGAACCGGAATTTTAATAAATAAAATTCAAACGATACCCAACTCTAACGCTGAAGGTCATCAGCGGCGTCCAATGGAGGGACTGCTGGGCTCATTAGTAGCTCAGAGCCTGGCCCCCACCCCAGCTGGGCCCAAACCTCTGCCTACAAATCCATTGTGTAGGCAGACGCATCACCATGTCGCGCCTGTGATTCTCGACCCGTCCTACAGACCCCTCCAGCTGCATGGACACCCTCCGCTTTCCTGGAAGCCCTCGTGAAGGATCCATTGACACAGACATGAAGCATCTTCCTGTCACGGCTGACGCGCGATCAGTCCTGCAGGTTTACCGCGGTATTCAGTGGAAAATGCACAGTAAATGTGCCTGGCACGGCACATTATGTCACTCCAACAGTGACAGTCACATCTACCGACACATCTGTTCATTTTGATCCAGCAAGCAGGGATCAGAAGGCAGAGGATACCCTGCACATCCTCTATTGCAGTGCTCACCATTCTTCTGGAATGTTTCAGGGCTCCCCTTATCGGATGACCAGTATTTTGGAGCAGCATATAGGTAGAGGACTGTCAAGGGGAAGCCAGCTGTAGCCACTCCAGAATCCCCACTAAATCCGGAACGTTCCACTGGGACATATGGATAACCCACAGAGCGTGCGACATGAAGCAGCCGGCTGGATGGGGCCGGTTTAGGAGAAGCGGGGGGCAGGCATGGGAGACGGAGAACATTGGCTGCCCTCGACACATCAGTCAAATTCGGAAGAGGCTGTCGGGTCACCCGGTATCGGAACGTTCGGCTCATTCAGGCAGCAGCAAACCAAAGTTCTGACGTGGACTTTCAGGGATCGGAATTGGGGGAGACACACAGACACCGGCTGCTTGCTCAGATTCACGATGATACGAGCTAAAGGAACTGCTTAGGGTGAATCCCGCCCACGACAGAACTGACGTCCTCTCCTGGGAGCCCTGCCACATTTCTGACAGACTGTAAAAAAGTTCTGAAGCACAAGTGCGCCCATCGACGGCCAACCCACCCCTGCCCAGTACCTCCCGGCCCAAATACCGCTCCCAAATCAGGCATTCCTCGTGAAGTGGAGAAGCAGATCCTAACTCCCCTTTTATGGAGGAACAAAGGCGACAGGTAGTCCCCAGAGACCTTGCGAGGGGGAAGGCGTCAGAAGCTTCAAAGACGCATCAGGGCCGTTCACTGTGTCGCCCCTCTGCTTTTGGTGTGGAGATTGCGGGAGCTGGGCCTCTCACTATCATTCAGTACCCATGCTGTACTGCCCTCATTATGTGCATGCAGCACGCCTTACTGCTAATCACTAGCAACACACCTCAAAACTGGGCTCCATGAGAAACAGACACAGGTTTTGGGCCAAAGTACAGGGTCAATCAGCAGCCAGAACCCCTGGAGCATTTGGGGTTAAGGGCTTTGCTCAAACTGCCCAACCATGGGATTAGAACCAACAACCTTCTGTCACACATCCATAACCCACTGAGCTATGCATGGCCCTATGTTTCAAGTTGCAGCTTTCAAGTTATCTTGTTGCATGAGAGGAACACAGTGAAATTCTTATACCACAGTTACAGGGGAGGGGACAGGTGCATGGGGGAGAATCTGACAAACAGCAGTGCAATAGAAGATAAGACAAGCAAGGCAAAAGACAGCGCAGTATAAGAACAAGCAAACAACAAATAAGTAATGAATATAATGCAATGGGAATAAGGCCACAAGTACCAACCAGAATGAGATTTAAACCCAGAGCATGAGGCATTAACAGCCCATGGCCATATTCACTGAGCCACCCCATCACACAGATACATTTAGGATATTCACGCAATGACCAATATAACGTCCTGCTCAAAGGCGTATGGGAGGCTGATGCTACATCAGGATGTCACTCAGAAACACAGGAACCTTAGGAACCCAGTCCGGGGAACCCCCATCTGACCCACCCCTCCGTCTCAGAGCCAGATGGAGGAACTGTGGGAACCTCGCCTCAGAAGTTCAGCAGGACAGGGGGGCGACAGATGCGAGCGAGGGAGCGTGTCACATCAGGGTACCGCTGTCAGCCTCTGCGGAATCTTCCCGAGTCCCAGGATCACACACACATCACTGCTTAGGGACGAACCGCACAGACAAGAAGGTGCCCCCCCAGTCATAAGCGGCAATCTAAGTTTGAAACGGGAGAATCTCGCTCGTTTCAGACTGCATTTACATAACCTCTCCCCCCTCCCCATCCATGCCCTGACCCACTTCACAGAAGCGATGTTACGGGTAGAATAAAAATCACAAATTAGTATGAACGTCACAGACATGAACCGCGATTTATCACAATTTAAAAGTGCTGGAATAGCCAGAACAGGTAGAGCAAATAAGAAGAGTCCCCCCCAAAAAAACAGGGGTAAAATCCCTGGGGGTGCAAACCTGTGGGGTGTGTCAATAACACTGTGTCACACACCCTGCTGGGGGGTGCCATCTGAGCGGGGGGGTGGCCAGCGTGTCTGACTAACTTTAACATTTTGCCATGGGACACACCCCCCTCCTCTGTCTAAATTTAGTGAAACTATAAGCTGCAGAAGCAGTGGGGGGGGCACTGCACGCACGTGAGCCCCCCCCCCCCCCCAGGCACCCCGTCCCTAATCCGCACCCCACAGAGTCCCAGCCCTACCTGGTACATGTATGTGTTAAAGTGGACCCCATTCTGCAGTTGGATCTTCACGGAGGACTGGTTCATGTCGACAGGATCATGTCCAAGCTCGGCCCAAATCGGCGAGCCCCCCAGCGCTCCGGACGGCGGCAGACAAACAGCGGGAGGGAGAGGGAGAGAGAGAGCGAGCCAGCCAGCGAGTGAGGCGCACCCCCCCCTGCCTCCCGCCCCCCCCAGCGCCAAATCCCCGACGGATGACGGTAAGCTGGGGAATAAATGAAATTCCTAGGCTCTGCGCGTGGCGGCGGCTGAGGGGCGGCCTTCCGGGTCCGCGGAGAAATCCAGAGCGTGGCGGACTGTGAGCTGAGTGCCACGAGAGACAGGAGGGGCACTGAGAGGGGAGAGTGAGCGATGAGCGGTTTATGAGAGCAAGGGAAGAGAGAGAGAGAGAGAGAGAGAGAGGGAGGGAGGGAGGCTGAGAGCTAGCGCCGCGGTATGTGGCTCACGGCGTGGTGAGGGGTTAGCTGGCACATGACGGAGCAGCAGGTCGATGCTACCGTCTGTGCCCCCCCGACCACCTGTTTCAGCTGCGCCCGCATGTGCCGGCCACACGAGGGCACTACACTGCCCCGGGCTCATGTCCCCCAATTTGACAGTGGGGGGGCAATCAGTTACTCCACCCAATGCCTGACAGGCCATTGACAGAGCAACACTGCAGTGTGGCCCCACCTCCCTGGGTCCCCCCCCGCCCCGTCTCCTCCCGGCCTCTGATGTGACTCGGGGTTATTAGCTACCACAAACTCCAGGTCAGTATTCCAGGCGGGATCCAGTGATGTTCCAGCGTTATCACCGTGACCGTGACCGAGGTGGCCTGCCGGATCAGTCATCACGGAAAATGCGTGGATTCCTTTCATAAGAATGTGAAAAGTCTGGCACATTTGGATTCAAATCCAAACCGACGTGCAGCATTAAGTTGCCGCCAAAACGGTGTTAAGGCAACAGATGTGGTTCTCCGGATCCAGTTTATGGACCTTTGGCTCTGTAGGTTGGAGTCTGGCACCTAACTGGAGCGGCTTCAGCAGACGTGATCTTCTGAGATCATCTGGACAGCAACAGCTGCCGTAGGCTTTAAAAAATCTGTGGTATAATAGTGCGATACAACAGGGGTCCCCCATCTTAAATATGTGCTGCTGATCTATAAACCAGCTGCTATAAGTGTGGGGGGCACAGAATGTGTGTCAGAATCAGCTGAAGACATTTCACGAATCTAGCCAATGCTTTTATCCGAAACAACATACTTTTTTGTGAAAGCAAGATCAGACTATCTTGGGAGCAACTGTGGCCCCTGTTCACACCAGGTATTAACATGCGACCTGTGCGATCAGATCACAACTGGACAGCGCTAAATACAGGTGTGAACGCACCCAAAACGCATCGAGATCCGATGGCTCACACCACATTCGGAGGTGGTCTGAGACGCATATGGCCACATTCTTATAGCATTCCATACAACACCAAAAACTAAGTTTGAATCGACTGCGTAGTTGGTTTAATATCGGACTGCCCCGATCCATTCACTCCTTTTACTTTACTTGCTCCGAGTCAAACGTATAATTCAACGTATCAGCCAAAACAATGAACCTCTTCGCTGAAATGTTCACAAATTTTGAGCTTCATTGGTTATGATTAAAAGCCAAAGTTATGATTAAATAATGTTATTACAAAACACTATTTAAAGATTAAACGTAGAACATAAACGTTATTAGGAAATATATAATACCCTTTACGCAATTATTTAAAAATAAAAGGACACATGAATTATTCAAAGATTTATTTATTCATTTGTTTATTTATATTTATTTCATTTTGAGTATTATGCCGTTTATTACAAAGATCGTAGGCAGTTCGGTTACCCTGGATTGCGCCAATAGCTTTTGATTTCTTCTTCTGCTTTTAATGTTCGCAAGATTCTGCATACGGAAGTGATTTACGTGCTTATTTAAATAAGATGCGGGAAAATGACATCCATTTACCAGCGGTCAGTCAATACGCATGCGCAAATGCATGTTAATGCATGGTATGAATGGACGGTATTTATCATTGTCCACTTGTGATCGGATCACCCAGGACGCATGTTAATACCGGGTGTGAACAGGGACTGAGGCTAAGGGCCTCGCTCAAAGGCCCAGCAGTGAAATCACTCTACCAGCCCTGGAATTCTAACCAGTGACCTTCTGCATCCTGCTGGGCCACAAACCCCCATGGATGGAGCTACAAGCTGAAGCTTGCTTAAAATGTACAGCACAATTCAGCACAAACTGACAGTGGGGATCTGTAGCCTGTGTGTGTGCGCTGTGTATACTCTGTGTGTGTGTGTGTGTGTTTGTGTGTATATGCGCGTACACATCGCCGTTTCCATCCTCAGGATTCTGCGGCTGTATTCTGGCCACCTCTCACCACCGACAGCTCAGATTCAGCTCCCACTTTAAAAGAAGACAAACTCGCAAACAGACATGGCCGAAAAGACCAATGCACCAGGGGCGTTCCGCGATCACAGGGGGCCACGTGCAGCGGACGACCAAAAGCAAGCCCAGCTTAGCCACATTTAGCTGTTGAGGGCAGGGGCCCGGTTCACGCGGTCACCAGTACAGATACATCCAGTCTGTGTTTGTCTGTTTTTCCGCCTTTAAATCTGGGATGTTCCCTCTCCAGGTCAAAGATACACAAAGATATATGGAAAAGCTGCCCTCTAGTGGCCCAGTGCAACAAAACAGACAAATGGAAGATAAACGCTCAGGGTTACATGACGGGAGGAAGGCGACAGTAATCCGCCATTTTGTTTATTTGCGCTCACGCGGGGCATCTGGACCAGAGCAGCTGTCGCGGGGCATCGGCCACTGGCGTCCCCATGTCGCAGCAGGGGGGGTGGGGGGGGTGTCGGGTGACGGCCGGGACAGGGCACCTTCTGCCTGCGTCGGCCTCAGCTAGCCTCGCACGCTAACAGCGTCTGTCTTTCTGGGTGACGCTGAGGCAGGCGGGTGCTGGCATGTAATTAATACCCCACTCTGTGGAGCACAAAAGTGGCAGCTTTAACCCCAGCAACCTGGAGGACAAGGGCAATAAGTGAATAGGCGCAGTGGTGCTGGGGTGCATGCCTGTGTCTGTATTATGCTCTCGTTAAAGACAGAACTCTGCTCGAGTACCCACAGTGCACCTCTGTTCCCACCCGCAGCAAATGTAGCCATCCAACACGATCCGTTTGAGCCTCAGAGCCGAGCCGGAGAGCTGAGAACCAGCATATCCTCTCCACAGCTATAAATTCCTGTCAGGCATCCAAGTTTGATCACCTGAAGGAAACAAGACATCCCGGGGCAGAGATAAGGCACAAGAGGGGACAAAGATGCTACAACGAGACAGGAAAGTCCTTGGCCACCCTATTCACAAGCAGGACCCTCGAGTTGCAGCCTAAGAGCCATGTGTCTCTTCAAAGCCACACGCAGACAAAGCCCTATTAAATGAACGCTAATCCAATAGGCACGTTACTTAATTAAACCCACGTTTAGCATTAGCCTCACCGCCAAACGAAAGGCTATTAATGAGATCAAATAGGCGATTAAGCGAAGAGGTGGTGCCAATGGATTCCTCAGTTGTTAAAAGGCCACGACCAAACTCAAAATTAATATTCTGATATTGTATCAGGCATCTGTAGTTAATACTGTTTGAAACATACTTTAAAAATTATTATGAAAGGTCATTATCAGATTAAAGTTCTGTTAACATGAATCATGATATATAAATCCAAAGAAAGGCCCACAAACTCCGCCTCCATGAAGTTTTTATTAAGCACAAGTCTTTGCAGACTCCCTCCTGTTTAGACAGTCACTGCTCTCTAGGGATCAGCAATGGGCGTAAATTGTGGGAGGATGAACGGTTGTAACCCCCCTAATAATCAAAACCGGCCAATACAACACCCTGGACCCTTTTAAATGGGTGGAGACCTCAACCCTTTCAATGCTCAACCCAAATTTATGCCCTTGGGGTCAGCTGTAATGGAACGAGCGCCCTCTTGTGGTCAGGAAGCACAATTATGCAATACACAATACGCTGAGGAAAACCTCAGAAAACGTAATAAAATCAACACACCATAAACAAACAAGTGTGCAGGTTCCTACTGACATAGTTTTGCACATTTATATGTCAAGAAAATATTTTTAATGGGATGATTTATAACTCTGTGGCACTACTGAAACATTAATTTCAGGATTTATAATGATGTAATCATGGAAATACTGCTCACCAAGAGCTGTACGTATCCTAGGATTCAACCGTGTGAGCCTCAGGCCAAGGTGCCAGGCCTGCTTGATCGGAACCCCAGCCCACGTCCAGGCCTGCTCGATCGGAACCCCAGCCCACGTCCAGGCCTGCTCGATCGGAACCCCAGCCCACGTCCAGGTCTGCTGGATCGGAACCCCAGCCCACGTCCAGGCCTGCTCGATCAGAACCCCAGCCCACGTCCAGGCCTGCCCGATCGGAACCCCAGCCCACGTCCAGGCCTGCTCGATGGCTGTAAGTTACAATCTGACAAGTTTGCCATCATGTTTGCGGGCAGATTTCATTTGTGTGTCGCAACACTTGTCAGACAGTTATTCCCAAGGGTGGACAGGAAATACCCATCCCGTTAGAGAAATTCTGCGCTTCTCGTAAAAGGAAAGAAAAATGTGATTCATCAGAGCTGGAAAAAAAAACAGATCACGGCTTGTTACAGTAGAGCAGATCAAACAGACCGACGAGGGGATAAGTCAGTGATCAGTGAATAAAGGCTGGAGGAGAATACGAGAGACAGGGGCCCTGCAACTGTGACAAAGTGGCACCGGCTGTAAACCCTGCTGTCCCTGTGCTGGGGCTGTTTGCAGCATGGAGCTGCCGGGTTCTGACTGGAGAGCAGAACGTCACTTCTCTAATCTCGTCACATTAACACCCAATGTGGCTGGCAGATGCCAAGGTTGGGGAGCCATTCTACACCCTGACATGGAGCTGTGATGTGGCCCAGCCCTTCATTCTGACCCTGCCCCGTCCATTAGCCCCACCCCATAATTCTGCCTCAGGACAAAAAATGGGGAGCTGACAAATGGGGAACTCCCTTCACTCTCCCCCCTTCAGTGAAGCTGCCTTATCCACATGACTGCCAAGATGAGCATAATGTAAGGAGGATTGTGAGTCTTCTCGCAGTAAAGACCACAAGCCAAAAAAGCCCCACAGCTTACCCTCAGAGACAGCCCCCCCTACCCCCCACCCACACACCCAAGACTGCAGCTGCTCTGTGGGCCGCTAAGAGGGCAGAATTATGGTTTAAAGAACTTGGGACTTTTGTCTCCAGTGTTTTATCACAGAAGCGTACTTTAATACAAGTTTCTAAACTGAGACATCAGCGAGTTGCTCAGGTCTCCATGGAGAAGCTCGTTTCCCGAGCGACTACACTTGGCCTACGCTTGACAGAGACACCCATAATTGAAGGGCGTTTAACACAATGACTCACCGCATTAGCTTCGATTTTACCAGGACAGTGAACAGTGAGCGCAGCACCCTCGGTGTGTAAGAAAGCCTTGGGGGGCCTACCTAAGACTCTTAGGCTCCTGAGGACTCTTAAGCCTTGTTCATACTTCACTTTTCTGCATCTGTTTTGTGCACTTCTGGGCTGTAGTTCATACTACATTTGGCTGCTGATGCGGATGGTCGCGGTCGGTTCAGGCACACAGCAGTGGTATTCCACCAGACCAGGAGAGGGCAGATGTACAAACACAAATATTAGCAGTGTGGTAAAATGCTTATATTTTCCTTAGCAGTTTTAAATTGATCAGTTAAGGATGGGCATTATTACAGTAATAAGGCATAGCACAGTGTTTTGACATCCTTACGACAAAATTAGCTGGGACCCCCAACCCCCCATCTGTTTTGCAAATTTTATCACCAAGATTTCAAAATGTTGGAATAGTGCTGCTTTTTAAAATACCGCGACGCTTGTCTCTGAGTAGCAGAGTCCTGGCAACTTGTGAGAAGTGGTGGTATGATAGAGATTAAAATATAGCCGTGCCGGTACTGCTTCATCCTTATGATATATATGATGCCTGCGTATATGATCCCGCATTTGCGCCTGCTACACCCCGGCACGCGCCTCCTCTTTACCCTGACCTGCAGAACTGCCGTAAACGTGGAAATGAGTTACGTTGTGAACCTGTGGTCGATTACTTTTCCTCAAGAAACTTTTCCTCAATAAGTTGAAATTCAGATTCAAAACTAATAAATTCAGATTCAGTTTTTTAATGCGACAACTGCAGATTCAAATATACACGATTCATATTCAGTTTCTAGTAGCACAGGTTCTCGATGGTGTTTCTCCCCACATGTAATGCCTGTGTTAGATTAGTTTGCACCCTTCCTGTGTCAAGTCCAGTTAAGATGGAAGGTTCCTCTACCCTCTGTGAGAGCAAAAGCAACCTATCAAACGCATCTATTGCTGATACCCGATTGTTTTCCATGTCATCTGCTAAGGCACAAATACTTGCTACAGGCTCTTCTGTCGCTATTACTCTCTAAACGAACAAATCCATTGAATGCTGGTGAGGCCCTAAATGAGGAAGTGACGTCGTTAATGAAGGTCCGCCTTGATGAGCGGTCTGACAGTTGGGAATTGCAAATTGAGTTTTCCCCCCCAAAACGCAATTCAGTGCCTTGTTACTCTATTTATTATTCAAAATATTTTGAAATGAATTAAGGATTGCATAAGCACTTTGCACATTGAATTGCCGATTGCAAAATGTATTTTCAAATTAAATGCTCAGATTAAATATTGAAATGACAAATGCATGCTCTGATTGAATATTGAATTGCCAATTGCAAAATGAATTTCCATTTGAATTCTTGTGCTTATAATCTTCCATACAGTATATCTGGATAGCATGATAAATTAGATATGCAGGTACCTCCAACCCTCCTCATACAGCTGCTCACCATAGTACAGCAACAACTATTCTTGTTCTACTCTGACCTGTGAAAGTCCATGCTGCTACGTACTGGAAATGCCTAATTAATTATCTTGCACATGCTTGGCCGATGTGGACGGATATGCAAGGTTTCCGCTAGACATAAAAATCTGGGCTACATGCACACCAACCGCAGTCGTCCTCATCCAACCACCGAAATTTATGTCACGTCCCCTCGTCTGCAAAGGAAAGTGCATGAGGAAAAGAGAAGTATGACTTGGCCTTTAGCCTTACTCAGACTCTCAGCCTTACTCAGACTCTCAGCTTCCCCTGGACTCTCAGCCTTACTCAGACTCTCAACTTCCCCTGGACTCTCAGCCTTACTCAGACTCTCAGCTTTCCCCTGGACTCTCAGCCTTACTCAGACTCTCATCTTCCCCTGGACTCTCAGCCTTACTCAGACTCTCAGCTTTCCCCTGGACTCTCAGCCATCCTTAGACTTCCAGCCTCCCTCTGATTCTCAGGCTCCCCAGACTCTCAGCCTTACTCAGACTCTCAGCCTTACTCAGACCCTAGTCCTATGACCTAGGGTCATGAGGACTGTCAGCCTTCCTCCAGCTCTCCTTAGTACCTCTTCCTTCCCCTCTTCTTTCTTGCCAACGTCATCCTCAAGAGCATCCCATAGCCTTAAGTAAGATGATGACTCATAACCAAAAGTCCACAGGCCGTGGTGTGGGTCACAGTGTCATCATCATCAGCACTCTACTCATTTTAATATTGGCTTAAGATAAAATGAAAATTATGAGGGTAGATGTCCTGGGCCTGGCAAGGTCAGGTGACAAGTCCTCCAGTAATTATATAAAACAGACTTACTGTTTCATCTGCCGGCCCAGACCTCGCACCCAGGTCATAGTCCTGTCTTGCCCTCTTATGCTCATGTGGCACCAGGTCCAGCCCCATACCCAATCCTACCCCCATTCTATCCACACACATCCTTGTGTTGGCTCATACACCTCCCCCCCCCCCCGACCAGAGCAGGTCTGCCAAAAGCAATCAAAAATTATCTCACAATTTCCATTAAAAGTCAAGTAGCACTGGTTAACCTATATGCCAGTATCCTCTCTTTTTCATTATACTGCCATTTAGTGAGTTAGCAAAGTTTCACATATGTCAAAGACTGACATTCTGTTATTCAACCAGCTACTGAATTTATTGAAAATTATAGGGAAGATATAGAATACAGATATAGTGTAGAGAAACTACAAGGGTGTGTTCACAATCTGAAGTCATTCATAAAGAAGATGAACTAGGTGAAAGCCTGTTCACTCATTTTATGAAAGAAACAAATTATAATTAAAATACTCATGAGTACAGAACAGAAAAGTAGTGGATGATTCTGGGGCCCTACTTTATCCATCCATCCATCCATCCATCCAGCATTACTGCTGTCTTACCAGCAGACACTGTTTCTGGTGAATAATCTCATTTTGATTCTGATTGTGGTTCTGATATGAGTCAGAAATGCAGCAGTGGATTTGGGGGGGATTATGTACTGTAATATTCACATTCAGACCCATATTTGTAGCTCAGACAGAGTGACTTGAGGATGGTGCTCTTGGGACAGTGTGTGTATATTTTTGGCCAGTTGGGGCATGGTGCTAGGGGGGGCAATGTTTTGCTTCTCCTTGTGCAGGGTGATCACAGTGAAACCTGAAACCATGCCAAATGGGGGTGGGGGGGGGGGGGGGGGGGGTTTGCCAGGAAGCAGAGTGGCACCTGCCCTGTGCCCCGGCCCCTGCTCTTCAGTACACTGGCCCCCTATAAATAAATGTACTGCTGCAGTACCAGACCCAAATTCATGACTTACCCCACTGGGATTCAGTGCATGCCCCAGTGAATAATCAGCTCAAGTCAATGTTTATTTATGAGGTGCACAACAGTATGGCAAACAGTGGTATATGGAGGTAAATGCAGATAAGAATTATGTAAAAAATCGGAATAATTATGCAAAAGATCCGAACCATGTCACCTATCCACCAACTATTCTCCCGCCATTTACGCACTATTCACCTGTTATTCACTTGCTATTCATCACTTATTCATTCACTATATTCATCCACTATTCACCTGCCATTCACCCACTATTCACCCGTTATTCACTTGCTATTCATCCCTTATTCATTTGCTATATTCACCCACTATTTACCTGCCATTCACCCACTATTCACCCAGGATTCACTTGTTATTCATCCATTATTCATTTGCTATATTCATCCACTATTTACCTGCCATTCACCCACTATTCACCCAGGATTCACTTGTTATTCATCCGTTATTCATTTGCTATATTCATCCACTATTTACCTGCTATTCACCCAGGATTCACTTGTTATTCATCCGTTATTCATTTGCTATATTCATCCACTATTTACCTGCTATTCACCCAGGATTCACTTGTTATTCATCCGTTATTCATTTGCTATATTCACCCACTTTTCACCCGCAATT